CTATGAGAGCTTCGTCCCCACGCAGTTGGATTACTTTTCCTACTATCATGACGTTTTTGCCCACGTAGGAGTTTAGATAGGCACAGGTGACGCGGGGGGTTGATTCCATCTTGAAAAGTTGTATTTGTTTGCCTTTTTTTTTGCGTAAGGTTGCAGCGTTGCTTTGGGTGTGGTGAGTCGTGTCGTTGAGAATTAGGTTGTGTTGAAAAATTCGGTTCTTTCTCTTTTTCCCTTCTCACACGGTGTGGTTGCCTGGAGAGCTGTGCTTGTTTGATCGATTTCGCGATAAAGTTTGGTCCGTGCAGTTGGAGTTTATCGCTTCTTCTGCTGCTTCCATGCAAACAGGACAAACCCCGAGCTTTTGCTAGTGTGGATACCCAAGTAAGCGAGCGGGGGTGGGGTCAGTTCCTAAGTGGGGACTACGGGACTTCTTGATCTCTCATCCTTGGCGTGTGAGTGACATCTCGCCAGCGGGGGGTAGGTGCGGCTTTTTGCTTGCGTTTAATACAAGGATTTCCCTGTTCAAAAACATGGCCTTTTTGCCATTGTTCGAGATTGTTTCCTATCAAACTTTGTCGCAGTGGCTTATACCTGGAGTTCTACACATATAGCTGTCTATCAACGGGCGTGGCGTCCGGGGATGAGAGCTTCGCGCTTCTAGTGTCTTTGGATCCACGTGGACCCCCAGATTATGTACATTGTATGTTTGGTGTTTTTATTGTTTCCATGACATTATTAAACACAGAGCCTTCATCAGATTCCAGCTGCAATTGGCAGCAAACTCCGCATTGCTGGAGCAGCTTGCTGAGAGCCCGTCCAGGTCCACCAGGTGCCATGTGCAGCAGACGCGAGATGGCTGCGGGGAAATGGCTCCGGTCTAACAAGATGTAGGGTATCGGGACCGAGTCGTATGATATCCCAAGCTTAAGGAGACGGCAGGTATGCCGTCGGTTGTTTCACGACGTTACCAAACCCAAGCAGGCGGGATATTTCGTGCTCACAAAAAAAATAGAGAATCGAGATGACGCAGGATGGAAGAGAATGCATCCAACAATTCCAAGGAGAAGTTTTTTGAGACGAAGTTGATATCAAGCCGATCAACCTGGAAGGGGGGGTGAGCTCTACACCATTCTGAAGCTAGTGCCCGTTACACTGCGGCACTGCCAGGGTCGATCCCTGCCATTTGGCGCATCATTCCGGTTTCTGTGGAGCTTCCACGTCTACCCTGCCACTCAGATTTGGCGAGGTGATAATCGATCAATCTCCGATCTGTTTCCCCAGGGAGCTGGGCAGGGCGATAGCTAGGAATGCTGCTCTGGCACGTCTGGGAGAGAACAAAGACACTTTTTGAGTGAACAGACCCTTTATGTTCCCCTATTCGTATCGCTGGTCATGTTCAAGGACTAGTCCCGGAGTCGGAGGTCAAACCGGGGAGCAAGCCATTTTTAGTGGGAACCTTGGTGAGTTGCCTGCGTCCTATGGGAATCAGCCAGATTCCCATGGCGGGGTTTCTCGTTTCGGTCCAGGTTCCCCCCAAGCAGAAGTTCCATGTCATGGTAGGTTACACTGCAGTTGGAGAGTTGGAGAGAGACAGATAGAGAGGGAGAGAGGGAAAGGAAAGCGTGGGATTGGGAAGGATCAGGAAGCTGGCAGACCTGGGAAAACATGGGAAGGATGACGGGAGTCTACGAGTCGGCCAAGATATAGGTAGATCTCGCTGAGAAGGGGGACATCGAGCTTGGTCCTGGTTTCCCGGGAGGATATTCCTTTCCTGAGGAGGGGTGTTTCTGCGCTAAGGTGTCTTTTATCGCCCTCCAAGGGCCTCCACTCACAACACCATCCCCGTCTGTCTCCAAATGTCCCTCCAGGCCTCCAGGCACGGTAGCTGCCGGACGGGGGACGAAGCTGCAGAAGCTCGTCGAGCTCGCAGCTGTTAGGGCGGCTTCAAAGCTCGTGGCCATGCAGTCTGCAGCTCTGATGCTCGGTTTTGCTTTGTTCTGGTCTGGCACCTTTCGGCGAGCGAACAGGCCACACTCGGTAGAGCCGTTGTTCACTTGTTCACTTGACTTTTCCCTTTTCCTTGCGCGGCTTGCTTCCCCTCCCCGCAGCCAGCCAGCATTGGATCGGACTGGGCATACAGTATGTCCGCCCCCGTTTCTTTCTAGGACGAGAAATCTTTAATCAAGATTTCTTGCTTCCAGGTTTTTACATCCCATTTTTGTCATTTTACCTCAATCATCATCAATTTTTCCATCGAGAGACATCTTTCCACAAAAGACGTCCAGAAGCGGAATGCGCGGCTTTCCCGGTCAGGCGTGAGAAACCCAACGCGGTCGCACCACATTCCCGTCAAATACCAGCCAAGGGACTCTTGGTGCAAGCAGCCGTGAATCAAGACCCTTAATCCAGAAACCAACACCCGTACCCGCCATTCTAGTGTGAAGCATCAAAAGTTGTTGTTTGTATTCTCTGTTTGGCTCTTGGTATCTCCCCTTCACCTTCCCAACATCCAAAGACGGGGATCTCCTGAAGGCAACAGCGATATCTCGGTCCTTCCCGGTTCAAGACAAGCACCCGGAGATCAACTCCGGGCCATCTCATAGCGCCTTCCGACCCGGGCATTCAACACCCCGGAACCCTTTGCACGCACCTGACATTTTCTCCATCGGGGCCCAGGTGGTCGTCAATAACCATCTGCTTGGTGGCATCTGTTGGTGCTGGGCCATAAACTTACAGAGAGAGGGAAAAGAAACACAAGAGCCCATCCAGGGCGGCGGCAATATGGATACCGCAACTCACTTCTTCAGCGACTGTCTGGACTTTGACGATTCAAACTCGTACCAAAGTCCAGACAATGTTGCCGAGGGAGCTCTCGACCTCCACTTCCAGCCATACGACACCAAATTGGACATTGGCGTCTCCCCAACAAACATCACTGTCGACGGCGGAGACCTCGAGCCCAGATCAGCGGACGTATGGGATGGCTTCGCACAGCATATCGGTGCCATGGACACGACCGGGCAAAAAGCCCTCTTCGTCGACCCAGGCCTTTACGACCCAGAAACCGACAACGAGGACATCAAGACGCAAATCCAGGCTCTGTCGATGGATATGTCCCGGCCCACAACTCGAAGAACCTCGAGCAGCAAGTCGGGCTCCCAGAGAACCTCAAAATCCAGTAGTGCGTCCACCGACATAACACCACCAGACCAAGGCCCTCCGGCCAAGAGACGGAAAGTTCGAAAAATAAAAAAGGAGCCCAACATGGTTGAGGACGAGCACAAGCGCAACAAGTTCCTCGAGCGGAACCGGATAGCAGCCAGCAAGTGTCGCGAAAAGAAGAAGATGTACGTTTCGGAACTCGAGGAGACCAAGATCGGTCTCGAGACGCACAACGCCCACCTGCAGATGGAATATAATGGCTTGCTTGGCGAGGTCAGCGGCCTTAAGCATCACTTGATGGCTCATGCCAAGTGCAACGACGCCAACATTGACCGGTGGCTCAACAACGAGGCTAGACGGTTCGTCCAGACCACCAATGAGTTTTTCGGCGGGACCTTTTCCTTTGGTCAGTCAAGCCAGCCGGGAATGACGCCAGGCCCTCCGATTCCGGGGTCCCCGCGCAGTCGGAATACGAGTATCGCCTCGACACAGTACCAACCTTTATCTGCTGGAGGGATTCAGTTTGATGGACTCGGAGCAGGACCAGGAGCGTCAGTGGCGGGAGATCGGCATGGGTCCATGGTGGCCTATCCTCCTGGTGAGTTCGACCACAGTAACGGAAGTTTTCGAATTGAGGTGGATGAGGGATGGTTTGAGACAGCAACGGCATAGACTCACACTTCTCCTTCCCTGTTTTCAGGAACGATGACGACCGCCGGTCTCTTTGACGCATCACCGACCGATAGCAGTGATTTTGTGCCCCAACCGCACCAGCAGCAGCCTTGTCCTTCTGTTCCCGATTCTCTAGGCGAGTCACCGAAAATGAAGCAGGAGCCGGGGATCAATTATGATCATATGCCTGACTCCATGTTCAGTCCTGACCCGTCGGCATTTGGCGGCGCCGGATAAAAGATGAAAGGATAATCGGCGTAAAAAAATCAGGTCGCTCGCTGTAACATTTCATTTTTTGATCGTTCTTGAAGCATGCCCATCCAATTACATATTTGGAGGATTTTGGCCTGTCGTCAACGCATGGTCATACCTATCGTCATGGTTATTGTTATCGTCATCATCGACTATTTACTTGCTTATGGACGAACCTATTTGTAATACTAAACCGGTCAGGGCAGAATGGAGCAAACAAAAAGACGCCGGTACTAGCAACCAAAAATATCGTTGTTGGCTTTTCGCAATATTGTGTATATTAAAGGGGAGTTGTCTGGTGTAATTGATTCGCAAAGCGGAGGAGGAAATGGTGGGAAATGAGCACTTTGATATTCTTGCCGTCATCAGCGGCGTTTTCAGTTCAATCGTTCGGTTTTTCCTTTTTGGTTGCCTTGGTTTTGGAAGTACGTCATTATCGGTGGTTCATCGGCGGTTATATCATGGATTCAAACGGTCGATCCAAATAGTTCTTTTCGGGGGGAAAGGAAGGGTAAGAAAATATCTGCAAAATGAGATAGATAACTGCATTCAATGAAATATGTTTTGTCAAGGAAAAGAATAAGCATATAGAAATTTGAAGCCGGTGGTGAGTTATCTGGTCGGCGGAGACAAGAAAGAAAGGGAGAGCAAATTTATTCTTGTCCAGCAAAAATGACGACATCGTCGTCAGATTTGACCCCCCCCCTTATTTGAAGCATTTCAGCCTCCTCGTGACTGAACAAAACCCACCTGAAACATTCCTTATTTCCTAGGGGAGTGAGCTTACTTGACACGGGAACCAAAAATAAAAATAATGACACCTTGGGAAAGGCAAAGAGCGATTTTGTTTCGTTTCCATCGCAAATTTACATATATAAAAGTGTTTAGCCGAAAAAAAAGTGCAAAAAGAACAATGCGGTTTATGTGGATCGAACACATGACCTTCAGATTTATTTGAATTGAAGTGGACTTCAGTCTGACGCTCTCCCAACTGAGCTAAACCCGCTTCATGGTGATGTTGCCCATGTTGTGTTGAACTCCTTCATACCAAACGAGGCTTATTACACAGTCTGGTAAAAAGACTCGCAAAAAAGGCAGGAGTTCGCACCCTGGTGGTTGGGGGGAGAAAAGGGACTTTGCCAGGTTAATAATATTGAGGGTGGGAGGGGGAGAAATTACTGGAGAGCTTCCTTCCCGTTGGGCATGATTCGCTCGGGCTGCTTGCCAGATTTTTGCTGAGATAGGAAAGGGGCAAAAATGGGTTTACGGAAATACATCGAAGAGCATGCCGTCGTTGTGAGCTATTATAAAGTTTCATATCTGTGTTCATTTTGATAGAGGGGTGGCCTCGTTCAAGTTCAAGACCAAACGGTCTGTCTTGACTCTTATGTATTATGGCAAATATGTGACCCGTAAAACTTGGACCGAGGTGCGCCAAATTCTCATCGTTTCGCTTGCCCTTCGAGCAGGTTAAGTAAGCCTTTGTATGGCGGATTGGTACACCAAAGTAAGCCCTTTTTATTTTCATAATATGTATGCTTCGCCTCCCTCCCAGGGAACCACCCCCACGGGTCGCGATCGTGAACCCTTGCCGGGAGGCTATGCTGTCCGTAACTTTTGAACTCCAATTGTTTTGTGGCGAATCCCCGCCGTGGTATATGTCATGTCCCATCACGCACTCTCAATGCCAGCCTACAATATCTCCTCGCCCTCAAGAGGCAGAGGCTGTGCTATTGACACCGACTGCACGAGACTCTCTGTGGCATCGACGCCGTCCATCTCCACATTACCCTCCTCGTCGGCATCCACATAGAACTCGGCAACCATAGCGTCCTCCTCCATTTTCAAGATTTGTTTGTTGGAAAGCTTCTTTGGCGGTACGACGCCATTAGCGTCGCCGTTGATCTCTTCCCACGGTTTCCTCCTGTGCGCAATGACCTTGGCCGAAGCCTTGCTCTTTGCGACCTTGGTTTGCGTACGCTCCCTGATGGCCTCGGCGCGGTCCATGTTCTTCTCCTGCCGTTGTCTAGCTTTGGTGCTGAGAACTGATTTGCGCCCACTCTTCTTCTTGGTCACACCTCCATTTCTAAATGCAGCGAGGACGGCTGGTCGGTTGTCGACAGAGTCTTGTGGAGCTCTGGCTTCTTTCAGCGACTTGTCGGTGTCGATGTCGACGGGCATATCCCGCCTTGCGGCGCGGGAGTGCCTTGAGGGGGCTATAAAAAAGATTCATATTAGTTTTAACGACTTGATTTTACACTGTAAAAGTGAATACATTCAGATATACATACCCTTCTTGCCCTTGGTAATTGTTGGCTTCGCCATTGCTGCCGCTGTTATCGATGTGTTTATCGTGGAGAATATCTTATCAGTTGGATATTTTTTTTTTCCTGTCTCTGGGGCAGCCAAAATGGAGTGGGGTTCGTTCACCCCCACCCCCCCGCTTGCAGGGATTACTCAACATCTTCGACATCCCTGTTGACTGGGTTTTTTTTAGTGCGACGCCAGGGGAATGGCAACCAAAGAGAACAGGAAAAAGGCCAAAAAAAAAAAAAAAAGGGAAAAGACGAGAATAGACACCGTTTCTTTTAGTTTATCAGATGTCTTCCATTGCAGCAGAAACACAGACATCGAATAAAGAAAATGAACAATCACTGCCGTGCCCGGCCGGATCAATAAGCATTCCAATGGATCAAATATAAAAGTTCGGCTGAATCTGCAAAGATTATCCATAGGTCAAGGTAATGAAGGGCAGTGCCTGCCCCGCCAGATTCCAGGCAGGCCAATTGAAGGCGCCAACCCTATCAAACGTCAAGCTGTCTCCCTGTTCTTCTGCCGTCCCACTCGCACATGCTTCTGATCTTGCACCTGCACCTGCAGCCTGTAAACACAATCAACAAACACTTGCACTTTCCTGATCGGATCTTTGCAACACTGTGGGAGAGTTTGCGAATGCGTTCGGTCATGGCCATTCATTCTCAGCATTTGCTCTTTTCCATATTGCTCGTTGCATGATTTGCCAGGCCTTGGTGCTTTCTTAGTCTTCCGCTCTGCTACTCCCTCCTTCCCACAAAGTCCCTGTTCCCCGTTCCATCGCCGAGCAGCAGAACGGATTTCTTTCACCCTCCCTGCCTTCCCTGTCTCGAGTCCAAAATGAGTTTCGACGCCAGAACCTTGATGCAACAAATCGAATCGCGCTGCGGTTCCGGACTGTATCAGAGCTGCGCCCCGACACAGCTGCGCGATCGCTTCACCAATCCAACCGTCATCATCACAGTGGCTCTTGTCGTTTTGACCACTCTCTTCCAAATAGCCCGGCGACAGAATAGGGGCCTTTCTCTACCTCAAGCAGTTCGAGACATTTTGGTACAGTTCATTCCTGCACAAATGTTATACGCAATAGAACAGCGCATCAGCCCGTCCCTCTTCCCATCGGCCATGACGCTCGAATCTCAGACGGCCGACGCGCACGAGCAAAAGGGTTCAACCTTGCAGAAAGTTTTGACCCAAGTATCTCAAGTTGGGCGCAAAGGCTTTGACAGTCTTTCCTCTGCCTTGGTTCCGTCCGGCTCAGTGTCCCCCGATCAACCTCCCGGGCTGGGAAACAGAGACAATTCCTGCTTCCAGAACAGCATCCTTCAGGGTCTTTCAGCCCTTAAAACCCTTCCGGCATTCCTCGACGAAGTATCTGCCGATACCAACCAGTTGGCCACCGTCAACGCACTGCGGGATCTGATTCGCGATTTGAACAGTCCTTCGAACAATGGGAGGACGCTCTGGACGCCGCACACATTGAGGAGCATGAATACTTGGCTGCAGCAAGACGCACAGGAGTACTTAGTCAAGGTCCTTGATAAGATGGACAAGGAAGTTATTCAGAGCAATCAGGTGCAGGAACCCTCCTCGGCGCAGCTGGATAATGACTGGGCGCACGATGACTCTGCGACTAGTGAGCATAGTGATGACAGCGGATATCAGAGCATGAACAGCTATTCGAAGCCAAAACCGGGTCACCGTCTTAGGAGAACGCCATTGGAAGGTCTCACTGGACAGCGGGTAGTATGCACGTCTTGCGGCTACTGTTCTGGCTTGTCCCTCATTCCTTTCAGTTTTTTGACCCTGACCCTCGGAGACAGGTCGTCTCACGACCTATACGAAAGATTGGATAATCTCACCAAAATCGAGTCGATTCAAGGGGTTGAATGCAACAAGTGCACGTTGCTCCAGTACGCCGAAGACCTTAGGGCTTTAGTTGCCAAGAAGAATGGCCTAGTACCGACGTTTGTTGAGCGTCTCAAAACTATCGAAGAAGCAATTGATGAAGAGGACTTTGAGGACGATACGCTTAAGAATAAGTGTCGTGTTCCCAAGAACAAGCTTGTTTGCAGCACGAAGACTAAACAGATGGCCATTGCTCGGGCGCCGCAGAGCATCGTCTTTCACGTGAATCGCTCCGTTTTTGACGAGATGACTGGAAATTCGTATAAAAACTACGCAGCTGTTCGTTTCCCCACAGAGCTGGATCTGGGGTCTTGGTGTCTCGGCAGCAGTATCCCAAGGGGACAGATGCAAACGGATGCTGACCACCAATCTTCCCGCATTGTCGAAGACGAGGAGCAATGGCCTACTAAGCCTTACGCATCTATGGTAGCGGGAGGGGATGGCAAATCTAGGATTACAGGGCCCCTCTACGAGCTACGCGCAGTTGTGTCACACTCAGGCGCTCATTCCAGTGGGCACTACGTTTGCTACAAAAAGTACCCAAAGCTCGCCAAGGAGAAGGATACCACCGAGACGGATGCTGGAACTACCAAGGACGAGGATGAAGACGCTGGGTTGGAGGCTGAACAATGGTGGGGATTGAGTGATGACCATGTCACAAAGGTAGATGAGGAGAGGGTTCTGGCTCAGGGTGGCGTTTTTATGCTGTTTTACGACTGTGTGGACCCCAACCCTGTGCCATCGGATATCAAAAAATTCTCCGAGTCAAGCTCGGGGGAGGATGCGGCCACCGAGGTCGGCAACAATGGGAATGATTATGATCGCTCCCAACTGATTGCCTCGGCCATTCCGCTACCGGAGACGGGGGATAGCGATCTCGAATAGTCTCGTGGTAGCACTTCTCGGATTTTGATAGCTGCGGACCTTGGGCTGGTGATTCTGGTATCATATTTTTGCATAGCGAGGGCGTTCGGGATTGGATTTATGGGTAAATGAATCAAGTATAATATGAGCGATTGCATCAGATAGGATAGGCAAATACATGTACGAAGAGTCGGGGATGATTCGGGTGTTGGATGTGGATTACGCAGCGTGTAGTTACGTTAGTATTTTAAATTAGACTACATAATTATCTAACTACAAGAGCCCCCCCCCCCCCCCTTTGAATGTTTGTTAGCACGATAGTTGAACTTCAATATTTGGAATCGAAAACGCCTATTTGTTTTTCAAAAGGCCTTTCTCGTTTAAGAAATGGCTATGTATTTATTAAAAGTGCTTTTCATTTATTGAGAACGGTTTTTATCTATAAATCAGACATAATTAAAAACAAATAGGACTTTTTCGAATTCAAAAAGGCATCTTGGATGGTTGAGACTTGAGAAGACCATTGAACCAGAGCCAAGAGGGGGCCACCCATTTCTACGCAAAATGCTCAAATTCTCACAGCAGATGCGGTTTGAGATATTCCGAGATCCCCAAGTTACACCAGATCAAATCCAACTTTGACGACTGAAGTGTCAACCGAATGATGCCAGCCCTCCATCTGAATCAGCGAATAAGTTACTTTTAAGCGGGGTCTTACGCATATATTCCGTATAGTGTAGTGTACATCTCACAAAGGGGTCGTGCCATATGGGGCGCACCATAATATTGTTCAGCTGAGCTCGGAATATACACTAGGTTTGTCTGGCATGTGGCTGACAAGCTGAGTGGAACTGTTTCTTTTCTGCTTTGTTTTGAAACCGAAAAAAGTCCGAGACAAATTGATTTTAGCTGATGTTTTGA